CCCGATGCAGCGGTGCACAGTGTTGAGCGTCTGCTGCATCTCGGACTTCCCATGGAGTCGCTCGGCCAGCGTGGACAGGCAGGTCTTCGCCAGATCCCGCGCCTTCTTCCCGACGCGCTGCACCTTGGAAATGTACCCGCCGATGTACCGCGAGGAGTTCGACATGGACCGCTGCACCGCGAATGCGATGCGTCGAAGGTGCCCTTCTTCTGTGTCTTCTCTGGAGCCGTGTCGACACAGGCAGTTCGGGTCGTGAGTAATGCCTGTGATCAGCGGGAGCCGGTTGTTCGGCGCCGTGTGCGTGTTGCTCCGAAATGCCACCGCCAATGCTGGACAAGTCCCGCTCAGGAAGTCGTCGTTCCGAGGCCCCGCGATCTCGCCCAACGCACTCCTCGGCCCGTTCACTTTAAGCCCGACTTCCCTGGCCACCTGAGGGCACACAACGCGGAATCTCGGTCCATCTGGGGCCGCCATGAGCATGGTCTTCGGGAAGCCGTGCTTGCACTTGTCGCCGTGTTTGCAGCCTTTCTTGATGCAGTGTGTGAGCGGCTTCCCGTTGGGATGGTGGTGATGCTGGACCTTCGAGAAAATCATCTGCGCATCTGCCTCGTAAGCCTGCTTGAAGGTGGCCGCGTCGGCGTCGCAGGCAACGGCATCGCACCCCTCGTCCCACTTCGTCTTCGGCTCGGCATGGTCCACATACGCGGGCCACCGACACAGACCTACGTGCTCCGATGCGCGGTGATTCTGCCGCCACTCAGACTCCAGCGACGGTAGGCTCTCCCGGTGCTCCTCGGGGGCCCAGTGCTCTTCCCTGTGGACCCACGCGTGCCACTCCTTAACCGCGTCCGCCAAGCCAGGGGACTCCCGAATTGTCCTCGCGATCTCAGTCAAGGGTGCGTGCTGGAACATGTTCGCGAGGTACACGAACCCGTGGAAGTGGAGCGTGCCTAGGTGCTGGTTCTCGACGGCGCCAAGCAAAGCTGCAGCAACCCCGAAAATCCCGCCCATGGGGCGCGAGTTGGAGCCGAACTTGTCCGTGCAGCAACAGCACCGGGGCTGCCTACGATATCTTCGCGCGACGCCGCACTCGGCGCACAACCGCAGACCCAGGAGGCGGCCCAAGATCACGTTCACGGCGACGCGGAAGCCCTGAACGACCGAGAGAGGATCATTGGCCACTTCGCACAGACGCAAATCGAAATCGGGGAGCTCCGCGTCGGCGCTCTCCGACAATGACGGCCACTCCCGTGACGCCAATCGTTTCCTCATGGCATTCCGTGCGTCGTCTGTGCACCCCGCGCGCAGCAGCGGGTCGCCCTGGCGTGCTCTGTGTAGACGCATCACCAAGCAGGACTGCTTCTCATTTGGCGAGATGTGATGAAAAGCCCGTGCCCGTATCCAATCGCCCAGACTGGAAAACGAGCCCACCTGCGACGCTAGCTCCCTAGGATCCTGCAAGGCTGCTCCTGCGAGCGCATGTAGTGCACTATCTGTTTCTGGTTGGTCCCAGGCCATGCGCCATGTGCAGCACCGTCAAGTTGCCAGCAATTGGCCGCCTGTTCGGCCCGTAGTACCCCTTCGCCAACAGGTCGTGCAACCCGCGGACAGCCGCGGTCAGGCGCTCCGTGAAAGCGGATCCGTCTTCGTCCTTGTACTTCCTGACTTTGCTCCCCAACCTCGCGGTGATGCCCAAAAAGCGGAAGTGGACATTGCGCATGCCTGGGATGAAGAGCCAGTCCGATCGGATCTGGTGTTCCACTCGGCGACTCATGCCTGCAAGCCACATCCCCATGCTGATGGACGGCCGGTTTTGCACTTCCTCGGGCCGCCCCACCGCGCGGCGCCGATGTGCGGCATCGGCACCGTTGCGCCAAGACCTCGTGAAGTCTGGCCCCCCGCTCTGCCACAGCAGCGTGTGCGGGAAAGCGATCGCGGGGTACTTCCCGTTCCACTGCTCCAACATGGCCGCGTCGGCGACGTACGGGACGACTGGCCCGCCGTCCATGGCTCGCTGTTGGCGCTGACCCGCGGTCCCTTGCCGGGACGTCGCATCTGTGGGCGCGCAGGCGGTCGGTCTGGCATCGTCGAAAACAGAGGCGACGTCAGTGCTGGCCAGCGCCGGAGTCGCGTGCGTGTTATCCTGCACACTGCTCCTGGACGGATCCGCCACCACCGTCGCCCGGTCCACGGCTGGCGGGACCTTCCCGTCGGTGTCCTGGGGGGTGCCGAGCCACGGGTAGCACTGCTTCACGCGCCTTTCAATCGCCTCCTTGGCAGCGGCGATTGCGATGGGATTGCCAGCAGCATCTCTACAAAAAGCGGGGTGGCCGCGGTCGATGAGCTCCCAGCCGAGCTGCAGCACCACATGAGCGCGGAGGCGCATGTGCTTCAGGTGCTTCGACACGTCCTTGTCTTTCATCCGGAACTCGAAGCGAACCAAGTGGGCCAGCGTCTCGCCGTCGTGGGGCAGCGCCGCAGCAGCACTGGAACTCTCCGTGATGGCGAGCAGGCGCTCCAGGACGTCGTCCCAATGCACCAGGAAGCTGGCCAGATTACCGCGGACAGCGTACCGACTGTGCGGATGCATGGCCTCTGGGGTTCGCCGTGCGAGCAGCGCGCCACTGCCCCCCGTGCGCCACTCGGCCACACTGCAGTTTCCAGGGGGGGCGGGGTCCGCAAAGAACAGAGAAGGGGCAGTGCCGCGCTACTTCGCGCAGCTCGCCTGATTGTTCATGAGGTGGCCCTTATCGCCCTCGACGTAGAACGCCATCAAACACGTCCACACTGGCGTGGCCGCGGCCATCTCGATCCACCGGGGCTTGTGCTTCTCCCACCATGCCGACACGAACCCGACAAAGTTGTCGTTGGCGATGGCGGGACGCGGGATTCGCTCCCGCACCGTTCGCGTCTTCGCGAAAATGCCGCGGCACTGCCAGCACAGAGGTATGCGGCACGACTCGCACAGCTCATCAACAACTCCATGCTGACGGTCGCACACCACGTCTTCCGGGCAGCACAGGAAGCGCATGGAGTTCTGGCTTCCGTTCGGACCATTCCACCGCACCGTTCGCACCCACGGCGAAGACGCGGTTGTCTGCGTCGGATAGTGGTGCGACCGCGTCCCGCGGTGGTCCGGAGCAGGGTGCGGGAAGTGCGCCAGGAACGCGTCCAAGCCGAAGGCGTACTCCAGGAGCTCACGCGGACAACTGCGCAAGAGCCCGCGCAGTGGCGTCCATCCAATCTCACTGACTCCAGCGGACTCGGGGTCCTCGACACTCGTGTAGATCTGACCGCAGCAGAAGCACACCAGCGACGACAAACAAGCATCGTTCGCCACTTGCCTCATGGTGCGAATTGCCCGCCGGTCTCTGCAAATGCCGAGAGCTGGCATGCCAGTGCGCGCCCGGACCTCCACCGCCTGGCAGTAGATGGACCAGATCCACGCTTCCTGCTCCTCCAGCACCTCGGCATGGACGCCGACATCGTCGGCGCTGTCAGCGAGTCTCTTGTTCCACCCCTGCCTCCACGCTGCTGGGAGGCAAGCCTGGTGGCAGCTGATTACGTGGCGCCGCAAATCCCCTTCCGTCTCCCCGGTCCAGCGGCACTGCCGAACGGCGCAGTTGCAGATCGGCCACTGCAATCCGTCCATTACCTCCTGGATGTTGTCTGCGGCGTCCGACGGGTCGAACGGCGGAGGAAGCGTCGGGTCCTGCCGGAGAAATGCATAGAAAGCCCGAGCTGCTTCGTGGGCGCGTCCAGCTACGTGTGCGCCACTTCGGCGCGCAGCCAAGTGATACATACACTGTTCCACCTAACCGGCAGGTGGCCACCTGATCTCGTAATAGGAGTCCGACTCCTGCTCTGAGGCGATGACACCTGCCGCGGTCCGAGTCAGACTCGGTGGCCTCCGCGGCTGCGAGGCGGCATGCTCTACTGCGTTCTCCCTTCTGTCGGAGAGCGCCTGACAATCGGTGCGCGGCAGCCGCCCCCGTCGTCGGCCAGCGGGCGCGCGTTGCAGGCCGTCACACGCTTCCCGCCGCACTCCCTCTCAGTGAACTGCAAGCGCCCGGACGCCTCGGCTCAGGATGCGGCGGCGGCGGAGAAGGCGCCCGAGCGGGCGCGCCAGCGGAAGAGTCTGCCGCGCCGACTTCATGGCGCGAGCGTGGAGGCTGGGGTTCAGGATGCGGCGGCGGCGGTGGAGGTGGCAGCGGTGGCGCGGTCTCCACTCCCAGAGGGTCGTCGAGAATACGTAGAACCTGATGACAGAAAGCCGCCACGTCCTCCTCGCCGAATAGCGCATCCACGTCAGCGAAACACGACGGGTCGCTGAACTTCCCCCGGCACGCGGTCGACGGCTCCCACGGTCGCGGAGCGTTAGCTCCTGACGTCGCCACGTCCACCGCATCGTAGTGTGAATACCCGTCGACGTCATAGTGGACAAAAGCAAAATCGAGCACTGGGATTTGCGCACGTCCCTGCAGCAACCCCTGGTCCGGGAAGATGGCCGCCTGGCTCCACGCGTTGAATGGCACGTACAGAGCGAGAGCGCCACAAGCCTCCAGGAAGTGCGTGATCACAACAGCGTCTGCATATCGGCGCGTTGCCGACACGTCCTCCGAATGGAGGCCCATGCATATGTCCACGTAGAACACCTGCAGTGGGCGGGGGCAAGAGATAACGCGGGGGTCACTGCGACTCCGCCATTGAAAGCCAGACCAGTCCCCCAAAAAAATCCTTCGCCCGAGTGAACGCATAAGCGCGGCCCCAGACGCCCTCTCGGCAACGCCCCGACGGCCCCGCCCTCAGAGTTCGAAAGCATCGCGTGCCTCCTGTGCAAGCACTATTTGGGAAATGTGCTCCTGGATCTCCGGGCTCCGCGAAGGGCACCCCTTCCTCCCCGTGCCCGCGGCGCCACCTTCCAGTTGGGGAGACTGCCCCACGCGACGCCACTGGCCACCTGCGCTGGCAACTCCTTCTGCAGGCGGGCCCTCCTCTCCACGGCGTACTCGTCCAGCTGCAGCGCCGCGAACAATTGCTGGTTCCGCTGCTTCATCATCTTCACCAGCGTCCATCTGTACAGCTTCCAAGCCGCGCGGCCTGGAAGTCCCAGTTCGGCAGCCGCAGCGCGGAAAAAGCACAGCCCGTCTCCACGAACAGGGCGCACGGACAGCCGCATCCCTGGCCGCGTCGCCGAGAGCAGATCAGCCACGCGACCCAGCGACTCGTTGGCGCAACTAATGCGGGACCGCCTGATGGCCTCCCCGTCATCGTCGAGCCCAACCTCGCTCACGCGCGCCTGGTCGACTGCGAACTCCTCGTCGCTCGACTCCGCCATGGCGCGCCAGAAGCGTCGCCGCCCCGCGGGCCAACTGGGCAGCCCTGACTGCGGCAAGACTGGACCCCGGAGCCGCTATCGAGCCCACATGGTTTACAGATGCCGCGCGCGCTGAGATGGGCCATTGTGGGACGCACGGCTAATGGACGAATTCCGATGCGACCTCAGGTTGCGCGGCGCTCGGCGCATGCTCCGGGGTTGTTTTCAAACTGGTCTTGCATTGAAGCGTGATTTTCGGAAGGGCGCTCGCAGACGCCACGCAGCCCCCTGGGGCTCCACGATCCCGGAAGTCTAAAAGGACCTGGGGTTCACAGAGACAGAATGGATCACAACCTCCGATGCCCCAGCGATCGCGCTGCCCGCCCACAGGGGTCGGATCAAAAGGCCTCGAAGGTGCAGCCAGGAAGCAGAATCACAGAGCCCGAGATCGGCTTGGCCATCGCTCCCCGGAGTATCTCCCGCGGTCACTGCGGGTTCGCATTGAAGTTTAAACGCGACCTCAGGTTGCGGGACAGACAACGCAGAAGTTCCCCAGCAGTGATGAAGACGATGGTGGTGCTCATGATGGTGACCGTTATCGTGTAGCCTCGTGCGCCGGCGAGTGATGATGACGATGGTGGTGCCGGTGATGGTGATGCCGATGGTGGTGTTTGTCGTCCTGGTGGTGCTGATGATGGCAGGTAGGATGATGATGGCGAGGCTGATGATGAAGGAGGTTGCTTTCAAAAATCGGACAGATTACTGGGATAGCTTCAGAAAGATGAGGGAGGGAGGTTTTTGAAACAGCGCTGGACGTACAAGCCTAGACCGAGCGTTTGGGGTTATTGGGTTTGAATTTTTTTATTTTTTTTTTTTTTTTTTTTTTTTGTTGTTTTTTTTTTTTTTTTTTTTTTTTTTTTTTGTTTTTTTTTTTATTGTTTTTGCTGCATTCTGCTTTTTGTGTGCCGAAATTTCAAAGTCAAACGTCGAGATCAGCAACCGTGCGATCATCTTGCGGATCGAAAGTCCCAAAAAAAGGGAGCGCGCAGAATTGCGACGGTGAAGGAAAAAGTGCCTAATTTTTATTAGTGAAAAAAAAAAAATGTATACTACCTGGAGCGCGACTACTGAGCGCTGGAACGAGTCATGCGGGTTCACCCCTCAGTGTCAAGAGATGTGAAAGCACGACGAGGCGTTGGTCAAGAGGCCTGGTCAAAACTGCCGCTGAGAAGGCAAAGCTGGTTCTAGCCGAGTCTGTGGCTCGGCAGTCGTGGCGCTGAGTGGGCAAGGGCTGGTTGTAGCCGAATATACTCGGGGGTTGCCAGGGGTGCCCCCGGCCCAATGCGCTTCTGGCTTCTCGTGCCATTTTAGAGCCCCCAGGGCCCACTGACCCCCGCGAGGAGCGCTCTGGAGGCCGCGGGGGCCCCCGCGGAACTTCTGGGGCACCTTGGGCCAAGGACACCTTGAGCATCATCCGATATAGCGCCGGCCAGCCAGCGCTCGGAGCGGCGCTACTTCCCGGCGCCGCCCTGGCGCGGCACGGCCGCGGCAACCGCGGCGAGGGCATCGAGGTTGAGGGCGCTCACTGTCTCCGCGTTCTCCATGGGCTCCAGGGCGCGCAGGAGGTCGCCCGTGGGGGGGCTGTCGCGCACGAGCACAAGCAGAACCTCCAGGCCGTCGAGCATGGGCTCCAGCCCGTCGAGCTTCGCCATGTCGTCCGCCAGCATGGCCGCCTGCGCATCTGCCTGCAATGATTCGAGGAAGCGATCAAGCTTCGCCACGATCTTCGCAACGGCCGCCTCCGGCGACATGTCCCTCGCCGCCGCCGCGGCTGCCATGTCCCCCTCGATGATCGTCAGGCGCTGCGCCCACTCGAGCCTTCGAACGGGGGTTGCATTTCCCGAAGCAACGCGCCCTCTGCGCCGCCGCATCGGGAGCGGTGCGCGGGGATCGGGAAGACCGCGACATGAACGCGATAATCATAGCCGCGCTTGCCTTCCCGACGCGGAAACGCCCGGGCGCCCCCCCCGAAAAAGCAACCCTCGCGCGGCAACCTGTCGGCCGGGAAAGCCGCCGCCGGCCAGCGAGACACGGTGCCCGCGAGCGCCTCCGCGCCGACCCCCGGCATCTCCACGAAACGCTTGACCGCGGCAGCGATGTCCAGCTGAATGCCCTTGAACGCACGGTATTTCGCCCTCTCCGCAGACTGCGCTGCGCTCCGCGCTTCCCCCGCTGCGAACGCCGTCGCCGCCTCGAGGTACGCGCCCACCGTCACCTCCGCCGCGGCGGCGGTCGGCGCCGGGACGGCGCGGGCCAGCGGCGCGGCCGCGGGCGCCGGCGCCTGCGCATCCCCGGCGACGCCCGCAGGAGGAGCCACCGCCGGGACCGCCAAGGCTCCGCCGCTGGCCATTGAAGCGGCACCGACCGCCGGGGCGCCCGCGGGCGCACGCGCCGGTGGCACGGCATCCGCGCCCGCGCCAACCGCCGCCAACGTCATCGCCATCGACGCGGCAACGCCGCCCGCCGTCGCCACCTGGGACGCGCCGGCGGCGCGCGTCACTTCCGCCGCCGCGGCCGCTGACGGCGGCGCCGCGCCAGCGCCAACCGCCTCCACCCCCGCCGTCGGCGATTCAGCGACGCCGCCCGCCATCGACATCTGGAAAACGCCGGCGGCGGTTGTCTCTTTCGCCATCTCTGCCTGCGTCCCGCGCTGCCCCGCATCCACGGACAGCGTGACCGCGGCGAAGTGCTCCGCGATGAGTTTGTCCTCGCGCGCCTTCACCTTCGCGGCCACTCCGGTCAAGTCCGTCGCCGGGGCGCAGGCCGTGAAGACGGACCGGAACCGCTCCACCGCGCAATCCAAGAAAAGAAAAAAAGCAAAGAAAAAAGCCCATACGGGACTAGTAACTGTACTCCTTCACCAGGATCGAGGAGCCCATCGACGGTACTTAGTCGAGACCAGTCCCACGGCGAAATCTGCAACGGACAATGCCAAATGGCACCTCACCCCTGGGAAATTGATCGGAGGTTGCCAGAGTTTCTCCCGGAAAACATCAAGCTCGACGCCTCCGCCCTGGAGGCGAGAACCCTACCTGTGCGGTCCCAACGGCAGATTACTCCCATGCCTCGCCGAACATTTGGCGCAGCCCGGCGCGGAACACCTCGAAGTACTGCGGTACATCCCGAAAGCACTGCCGCACCTGGGCAGTTCGCAAAGGCCGCCCTCTGCCGTTATTCCCTGGTACGACAGCAGTCGGTGACCAGGTGCGAACGGGGCTCATGTACTCGGCCACGACGTTCTGCGGCAACCCAGCATTGAATGCTGTGGCCCACTCGGGGACGTTGGCCGCATTCTTGGAAATCAAGCCGGACATCCAACGAACTGCGTTCTTGGACTCCTTCCTGCAGACAAGCTCGTCCGCATCCGCGAGCACTCCGACGATGCCGCCATCAAATGCCAGGCCCTTTGCCTGCACACTGACGTCGAAGAATACCTCCAGCACCATGGCCTGGACCTTCGAGTTCGCGTCCATCTTGCGGGCCTTCAGCGGGGAGCCACCGGCCGACTGGAGGAACGAGGTCATGCTGAGGAAGTCAACGCGAGTTCGCTTGCCTGAGAGAACACCTTGGTCCGAAGTGGCTGCGGGACTTCCACCTTGCCTTCTCTTTCAGATGGACAGCCTTCATCTGCAGGGCTCTTGGCGTCCACGACGGCCCCATATGCCTCCACAGTGACAGTAGGACGCCCAGAAGAGGCTCCCAATAATGCCTCCGCAGACCCAAAAGTGACCCGGCAGGCCTGCAAAATGGCGCAGCTCGCCCACGCGCATGAAAAGATATCCCCAGAATGCCTCCGAATAAATTCAAATGATATAGCAGCGGTGCTGCGAAGACAGGAACGAATCCCACAGACGGGCCAAAGTAGCCCCAAGAGGCCCCAAGAAGGCCCCACAGATCCTCCCACGAACCCGCGAAAATGGCGAGCGGCCCCAAAGAGCCCCCGATGGGAAAGACGAACTGGCATTTTGAACCTTTCCCCCCAAGATGGCCCCCAAGAAAAAGAAAAGCCTCCCGCGGGCTCCCTGAAAAGACCCCAAAAGGCTCCAAGATGGCCTCGCGATGAGGCCCCCCAAAGCGCCCCAAGACAGCCCAAGGTGACCCCAATAAGGTCGGCTGAAGAGGCTCCCAAAATGGCCTCAAGATCAGAGGCCCCCAAGAGTGCCCCAAGACAGCCCAAGGTGCCCCCAGCAAGGTCGGGGACGGCCAGCACGACAACGAGCATGGACCAGGATGGACATCAAGACGGCCGACACGGCCTTCAACGTGAAGGCTGAGTGACTCTGAATGTGAGTGAGTCTGAATGTGAATGTGTCTTCGCGTGTGAGTCTGAATATGACTGAGCACACTGTTACTGTATCTGGGTGTGAGCGGTATGCGGAAGACTCAGTCAGGGAATCAGAGAATCTGAGTTGGAGTCTGAATGGGCTGTAGGGCTATAGGGCTATAGGGCTCTAGAGCTATGCGGCTATAGGGCTATAGAGCTATGCGGCTATAGAGCTATAGGGCTATACGGCTATAGGGCTCTAGGGCTCAAGGGCAAAAGGGATATAAGGCTATAGGGCTATAGGGCTATAGGCCTATAGAACTATAGGGCTACAGGGATATAGGGCTATGGAGCTATACGGGTATGGGGATATAGATGTGAAGGAATATCGGACTACATTGCTATATGGGCTATTGGGCTATTGGGCTACAGGACTATAGGGCTAAAGGGTTATAGGGCTATAGGGCTATAGGGCTATACGGCTATAGGGCTATAAGGCTATAGCGCTATAGTGCTCTAGGGCTCTAGGGCTATAGGGTTATAAGGCTGTAGGGCTATAGGGCTATGTAGGCTATAGGGCTTTAGAGCTATGGGGCTATAGGGCTATAGGGCTATAAAGCTATAGGGCTCTAGGGCTCTAGGAATATAGGGCTATAGGGCTACAGGGCTATAGGGCTATAGGGCCTCCGAATGCCCCCAGAAAGCTCCAAAGATGCTCCAGGAGTGCAAAGTCGATCAGGGCCCCCGCTGGTGGCCCCGCAGGGTGACACCCATTCGGGAGCAGAGCCTCCCTCCTCCGGCTCTCCCCTTCCAATACGAAAGCGTCTGAGACTTCCGCGCTCTTGAGGTTCGTGAGAAACCGTCTTCAAGGCTTCTCCCTTGTCGGACCCTCCCCTACGTCCGAACCGCTCCCATACTGCTTAAAACCTCACTCTTATCCGAAAACGTCTTGGCGCGATCTTGGAGGCTCTTCGGGCCGTCGTGGAGCGTCCGAGACACGAAACAGCGAGAAGCACACGACCACGACCTCTGACGGTGCGCTTTGACCAGAGTTCCGAAGTGAATCCAGCCGTGACGCCGAGGGTCCCCCAGGCGAAAACGAGGAAACGTAATCGGCATCGGTGTGTTTTCCTCCTCTGAGGGCAGGCAAGCCGTCCCTGCCAATGCCGAAAATGTGCGCTGCCTGGATTTGCCAGGTTACGCTGGATGGCTGCCCTTAATGTCGTCATGACTCTGGTGCGCTGCCCGGATCTGCCGGGTCACGCCGGATGCAGCGAGTCAAGCGAGAGACGGCTGGGAGTTCTGGTAGCAAGTAATAAAGCGAGAGGACCTCGAGGAGCACGTCCGGAGCACGTCCGGGGCCTCCCTGGAGGGGTACGAAACAATTTAAATAGTATGGTTTTCGGATACCCTCCTCGCTCAGGCAGGGCCTCCGTGGAGGTGTGGGAGGGGCACGAAACCATGTAAATAGTATGGTATTCCGATACCCTCCTAGCTCAGGCGGGGCCTCCCTGGAGGTGTGGGAGGGGCACGAAACCATGTAAATAGTATGGTTTTCCGATACCCTCCTCGCTCAGGCGGGGCCACCCTGGAGGGGTGGGAGTGGCACGAAACCATGTAAATAGTATGGTTTTCGGTATGGAGTGGTATGGAATGATATGGTAGGTATGGTATGGTACGGTATGGTATGATATGGTATGGTATGGTACTGGACGGACTGGTAAATGGTAAGGGAACTGTGCGCATTGTAGTGATTATGTTAGGTGTAGCAAAGTGTCCGCCAAGGTATGGTAAGGGTACGTGTATTGTACGTATGATGTGGTATGGTATGGTATGGTACGGTATGGTATGGTATGTGTGGTAGGAACTATGGTATGGTATGGTGTGTGGTAGGAATAATATTGTGTTGCATGGAAGATGGAGCGGGAGGTGGGTGGGAAGGAGAGGGTGTTCTTGGAAAACAAGAACCCCACTCAGGATGTGGGGGGCAAAAAAAGACCAGGGCCGAGCAAGCTCAAGCCAAGTGGTAGGGCGGAGGCGAGGCAAGTCCTTCGCGGCACCGTCCCCCTCCCTCTCCTCTTCCCCCTCCCACTCCCCTCTTCTTCCTCCTCCTCCTCCTCCTCCTCCTCCTCCTCCCCCTCCTCCCCCACGCCCTCTCCTTCCTTTCTCCTCCTAGCGGCGCCGCACCTGCAGCCCGCTTAAACCGCACTCTCTCTAGAAAGACGGAGCGCGCCATAGGCGGCTAATGGTCGTCTCACTCTTGGTTGCCCACTGCCCTGTCTGCCGGTCCCAGACCCAGCGCGTCCTGTCGCACAGAGTGAACTGCACCCGGGTCCACTTTGGGAGCGCCTCGTCGTCATCAGCAAGGCTCCGGTGATCCGCGGCCCTGCGATCGGGGCCCGCATCCAGGGTGTCAGGGAAATCGTCCCCCTCAAAGTTGTAGATGACCGTGGTGAAGCGCTGACGCGGCTTGCCCTCCTGAGGTACCGGGGATCGCGTGATGGCCACGAGGCCCTGGCGGACGCGGTCCCTATCGATGGTTCCGCCCCCGGGCACCTCCCCGCGAATGCGCCGCGGCGCACGGACGAGGTCATCGGCGATCATATCCTCGGTGCAGAGACCTCCGGTGACAGGGCGCCCGCCTGAATCCTCACGACGCAACACCCTGGGCAGGAGGTCCGTCACGCGAGCCGCGAACTCCGTCGCGAAGGTCGGCAACGCGGCGTCGGACACGAAAGCCAACCACGCATCCCAGAGCCGCGTCGCCACGTCCTCGGCGAAGTTCAGCGAGACCGCCATGGGCAACGCTAGGTGCCCGTTAGGGGTCGCCTGGCGGATTGCCACAAAGCGGCAAAACTCCGTCTCCAGGAAAGTCAAGAAGACGCTCAAGAAACGAACCCAGACGCCCTCAAACCCACCTCGCAGCTCCCCAGGGGCTGGCGCGGCCAGCGGCCGCGGCACGACGCCCTCCGCGCTGCGCAACTCGGCCGAGGCTGTCGCGGCCGACGGCGGCGACGCGACGGCTGCCGCTGCCGACGGTCGAAGAGGAGGAGGAGGCGCTTGCGCCCTCGCAAGGTGCGCCGCCGCCCGGGCCACGAAGGGCCTCGGGCTGCGGCTCCGCGCCATGGTGGGCGCAGCAGGAGGCGCCGGCGCTGGAGAAGGTGGCGCCGGAGGGTCGTTGGAGGCTGCTGCGTGGTCGCGTTTCTGTTTGCGCGCCCGGGCGCCCATCTGTGGAGCAGAGGGCACGGAGGACGCGAGGCCCGCAAGAGGCAAGCTCCTGCGAGCGCAGAGTGGACTTGGGCCAACATGGGCAGCGGAGGAGCGACACGTCCGCAAGGAAAACAGACCCTTTGAAAGAAGCTTCCGACTCCTGCATTATCCTCCGTGCGTCCCGGAGGGTACGTGCCGGAGCACGACCCACGGGAGCAGCACGCCTCGTCTCCTTCCTCCGTGCGCCCCAGAGGGTACGTGCAGAGGCACGACCCACGGGAGCAGCACGCATCCTCCCTCATCTCCTTCCTCCGTGCGTCCCAAAGGGCACGTGCCGGAGCACGACCCCAGGGAGCAGCACGAATCCTCCCTCATCTCCTTCCTCCGTGCGTCCCAGAGGGTACGTGCCGGAGCACGACCCACGGGAGCAGCACGCATCCTCCCTCATCTCCATCCTCCGTGCGTCCCAGAGGGTACGTGCCAAAAAACGACCCAAGGGAGCAGCACGCATCCTTCCTCATCTCCTTCCTCCGTGCGTCCCAGAGGGTACGTGCCGGAGCACGACCCACGGGAGCAGCTCCTCCTAATATCCTCCTAATCTCCTCCTCCCGTGCGTCCCAGATGGTTACGTGCCGGTGCACGACCCACGGGAGCAGCACGCATCCTCCCTCATCTCCATCCTCCGTGCGTCCCAGAGGGTACGTGCCGGAGCACGACCCAAGGGAGCAGCACGCATGCTCCCTCATCTCCTTCCTCCGTGCGTCCCACAGGGTACGTGCTGGAGCACGACCCACGGGAGCAGCACGCATCCTGCCTCATCTCCTTCGTCCGTGCGTCCCGGAGGGTACGTGCTGGAGCACGACCCAAGGGAGCAGCACGCCTCATCTCCTTCCTCCGTGCGTCCCAGAGGGTACGTGCCGGAGCACGACCCCAGGGAACAGCACGAATCCTCCCTCATCTACTTCCTGCGTGCGTCCCAGAAGGTACGTGCCGAAGCACGACCCACGGGAGCAGCACGCATCCTCCCTCATCTCCTTCCTCCGTGCGTCC